CTCTCTGTCTGTCTCTCTCTCTCTCTCTCTCTCTCTCTCTCTCTCTCTCTCTCTCTCTCTCTCTCTCTCTATCTATCCATCTATCCATCTATCCATCTATCCATCTATCCATCTATCCATCTATCCATCTATCCATCTATCCATCTATCCATCCATCCATCCATCCATCCATCCATCCATCCATCCATCCATCCATCCATCCATCCATCCATCCATCCATCCATCCATCCAGTCTAATTAACACACATTTTCATATAGTTACATTGATTTTTTTTTTTTAGTCGAGAGGCTTTTCCCACATTTATGGTAGTTCATATTAGGTTGTGCAGTTTTTCCAATATTTAAGGTAATTCATATCAAGCAATGCAGCTTTTCTACAATTGATGATAATCCTTTTTTAGGCAGCACAGCTTTTTAAAATTGACAGTAACCTGTTTTAGGCGGAAGAGCTTTTCTTAAATTTACAGAAAGGTACTGTCCTGCAAAACAATGTGCTGAAAGAGGAAAATTTGAATCGCTGTCACAAAAACATATTTAAATATAACATTCTGGACCTTTTCTGTACAACTGAATGAACTTTAATTGAAGACCACTGCTCTATGAATCTTTTGAGTTTGGAGTCATTTTAAGATGGCAAAAACCCACTTTTGACTTGGCCCCACCTGGACAAGCAGTTAGCTCAACAAATCTGTCAGAAGGAAAATCCATTTCTCCAAACGGAGATTGTTCAACAAGCCATTTAGATTTTAAATAAGATATTAACACAGAACCCCACTTTAAAAGAACAGAAATGTCCCTTTTACTGAATCGAATGTGAATGTGAAATCAGACAGTTTGTAATAAAGGGATAGTTTGGATTTAGAGGATTTCCATTTGAATAACACTTTATTTAAAAAAAAAAAAAAAAAGTCAAGTTCTCTATATAAAATTACAGCTTAACCATAAATCATTTCTTCTTTCAGATTCAGCTCATCTGTCTCCGTGAAAGGTCGTTTATTATTATGGAAAAACAGATGATAGTCCTGAGATCATTCATCCACCAGGATGCTGAGCTATAGCAGAAATTATGCAGAAAAACGGCCTTCCCACTGAAATATCGACACGCGCCAGGATGTCTTCATTCATAAACAGTCGGGCAGGATTATAGATTAGTGAATGTGTTTTAGTGTTGCCTCCTCTGGTTTGCTCAGTACATTCATCTTAATTTCGTTTACTTTTAAACGTGACGGTTTGGGAATATGAAAGTCAAATTGGTCCACAGTATTTCATATATTTGCCTTCTAGTAGCGTATACGGTTTTTCCTAAGAAAAAATAAACCACCCATAATGCAGCAGCTAAAGTAAGATTTATTTCTGTGTTTCTGCGTTTACCTCGTGCGTATGAAAAAACAGCCTTTGTTCAGCTCAACACTCCACTGCACCTGGGAATAAACTTTCCTCCGCTCATTTAACACGAGTCTTCTCCATTTAGTATTAAACTAAACATGAGCCTCCTGCTGGACTTGCTGATAAAAGTGAAACACTTTTTAGAGATAATACTTTAGCATTTGACACAAACACCTCTCGAGGTTCTGACAGAAAGAGTCACGGGCTGGAAGGAAGAGCAGGATTTGAAGACTAAAGTGTTTTACCATTGAAATACTAATAAACATGATAACTTATCCATCCAACTTAAACTCACACACACAGTCACAACAGATGAATCATAATTCTGTGTATTAAAACAAGTTTTAATCAAGCTGGTATATTGAGATTGTTAATAAAGGACTAACAGTTTACAGACTTGAGGCAGCTGCATAAAGCTTGGGTTTTGTTTAGTCTCTTCCAAATCCTGGAAGAGACGACACTCGTTACGACAGAAATGTTTCACCACAATGTAGAAAAGCGATAAATCAGAGCCACCTGAACAATGGCAGTAATCGTCCTTCAGACTGCAACTGTAAACCTGCAACATCTGAAAAAAAATCTGATCTTTATTTACTATTAGGGACTCATTTTTGCAGCTAACTTAAAAACAATTTTCACTGCAACACTGGAATCAAGTCCTCCTTCTCTTTGACACAAAAAACCTCGAGACATCCAAGTCTTCAACATAAATGCCAATGACAAATTGACAAACGTCATTTCATCTTAGCTCAGCTTATTCTTGAGCTTATGCAACAAATAATATGAACGTATGAGTAAGTTAGAATGTTTTTAATACCTTGGAAACCAAACTATCCTTTTACACAAAGTTACTTGTGGCGAGAATGAGAGTGATTATTAAGTAAGGGGTGGAGAATGAAGATTAAACATGCAAAAGAGGGGAAAAGATTATTTGCAGGGATTCCTTTGTGCTGCACGGACTCAGTAATGATACAGTTGTTAACGAGGCGGGGGCCTCCTCCTCACTGTGCTGGCCCAGTCTGAGGTCTCTTACCCTGAGGCACATTCAGGCTCTTTTCCTGAGCCTGAGTGGAGCTCGGGATGACCAGGGCTCTGGAGCCTTTTCTGTGATCTGGGAGGAGCAGGTGATAGACCGGACTGTTTAACAGCAAGGCTGGTGGGGCACACACACAAAACACACACAGGCAAAGACACACAGACACCACAACAATGGATCGTAAAAAAATCATAACAAAATAAAATCTTTAGCATGACGGTGTTAGCATATTCCTTCTGATTTGATGAATGGATGAGGGCTGAAGCAGAAACAGGAGCTTCTCAGGGACAGGCGAGTTAACCAAAACCAAAAGAACTCTTTACACAGAATATTTGTTTGTGTTATTTCAAACTCACACAGACGTCTAGTAAACAGCATGCCAACCTCCTGTGGAACAATGTGAGCCAAAGAATGCATTTTTTTCCCTTTAATCCTCTTCTTTCTCCTCCCTCTATCCCTTTTCTCCTCCAAACAATAGCTCTTTTGTGTCCTCCCTGCTCCGTGCATCTTATTGTATCTTGTGAATTATTGCTACATCTTGTGTACTCTTCCTTGCAGGGAGTTTGATTTGATTTACTTTAGTTTAGCGTGCAACATTTCTTTCTTTGTTTTTCCCCTCTTCAACCACTTGTCTCCTCTAAATGAGTTTGCAAAAACACAAACAAGCATGCAAACAAAGCGATCTGTGCTAACCACAGAGATCTGAACACTGTACATATGAAAGGTGGCGTTTTGTCCTGTTTGTTAGTTTAATGCCGGCAATGCGCCACAACATATTGAGCATGTTTTATAGCAAGTCAGCAATTTGTATGTCACAATGTTCAAGTTTCTGAATATGGGTGGGGGTCATCATTTACTTTTTGATGCATCATGATGTAGACAGGAACGATTCTGCAACAACTTAAAAATGTCAGGAAATTTGAGGAATGCAAAAAACAAGACTGAACTGTGGAAGCGCAGACCGTTTATGGTATTCAAACAACAGAGAAAGGACGAGGAGAACTGAGACAAGAAACAGCTCCTTCTGCATTAAAAGCCAGTGTTTAGAAGTAATTCAGCTTAAACTAAATTAAAGGGGAAAACGACTTTGATCAAAGTTACACTTTATGCAAGATGTGTATGTTTCCACCCGGAGGAGGATGAAGGATAAACAGCTGCTGCAGCTGACAGAGGGCTACTGAACATCAGAAAAGATGAAACCAGTTACAAAGCCCATCGCAACTTTTGTTTTGAAGGTTTTGTGTCCACATTTAGTGGGTGAAAACCAGGTGCTCCCTTTGGAATACTGTAGTCCCTCGTTTATCTCAGGGATCCGTACACGGAAGACCTGCGATAAGTGAAAAAACGTGAAGTAGGAATATATATATATATATATATATATATATATATCAAAACCTGGAGCAGACTATTTT